TTCAGGTTAAAAGAGGACGAGATAAGATAAATTTAAAGCGCGACATTCAGCTTTCATTTTTGTTCGAAAATGTTTTTTTTTTTTTTCAAATTAAGTATTTCAGTAATTTTATCTTAGAAAAGTTCAACATATCCATGTAAGTAAAGCACTACTTTAAAACAGTGTCTAAAGATTTATTTAATTTTATAGAACGCCGGTGATGTTTGTTTCTAAAAATAGAAAATCGGAAAACGAATCACACGCTTTACTAATATACAATTAGATAGCGGACATGTAGATTAGAGGAATCCAGGAGTTTAATTATTGATTCTGTAATTTATGATGGCAAATATAATTTTCCACCATATTTTTTTTATTTGACTTTTATATAAAACCTTCAGAAAAACAGAAGGCCGCTTTAAATAAATGATTTCAAACAAAGCCGTTGGTTTTTTTTGTGTGTTTTTTTTTAAACTTTGAATAAACATCATGCTTAAAAATTAAAAAGATTTTCTTATGCGTTTGATCTGACTTTTCTATTTCAATTTATGAATTAATTTATTTTCTTTTGCAATAGCTCTGACATCAACATTTTATTGTTTGACATGTTCAAACATATATAAAAACTCTTGAATATAAGGTAATCTACGTTACCATAACTGGTATATTCTTTTACTTTGTTCATTTGTTATTTTTGGTCTGAAAGTAACAGCTTTAAACCAAGTCATAGACTTTGTAATAGTTTATAATTTTTTTTATATATATGATAAAAAAGATAATGTCTTAATGGCATTCACGAGGTATTTTACGGCCTTAAGCTATTAGTTTCTTAAAGAAATGGATAAATGAATATGTTTGAGCATAAACCTTTCATAAATTTATCTCAGTAGACGAACTTATTACTGATAATTACATCTAAGATTATTCAAAAGCAAAAATAAAATGAAACATAGCTGTCATTTTATCTTTAATCAAGTTTTTTTTTGCTGTTGCCCAGTTAAAGGTGATACTTTGTAATTTACGTTACCATTTCCTAGTTATGTTTGTATTGGTGTATGCTGCATACAAAATATATTTTAAAGTCAAATACTGTTGTATGTTAATATTTGGTGCTTATAATTCATAATAAAATCAACTAAATAAGTATAACAATGAGTTTGTTTATGTAGCTATTATTACTGATGATCATATTTTCCAGAAATATTCAACCCAACATAAATGAAAAAGTTAAAGCTTGGTGTACGGTTTTATTAAAACCTGTGCATAAAATATGTAATGTTACTTTGGCAAATTATTTATCGAAGTGACAATCTGTATCAAGTGCATTTATAGAATATATCAAAATATCTTTAATATGACCATTGGTTTATTTTTAGTTAAGGTAACGTAAATTACATTTTGCAAAAGTACTCAATTTGTTTCAGTGGCTGTTCTACAGATAATAATAGAGTTTGAGTGCTGTAACTTTCCCAATTTGTCAGACACATATCTCTTTAACCACCTATGTAATAAAACTTTGATAAGAAACAAGTTCATTTTTTAACATTTTGTCGATTTAAGTTGGGCCTATCTTGTGAGAATAGGTGTTCTACTTAACGCTAGGATCATTGTATCAATAGTGATCATACATTGATGTTTCCTCTCATAAAATATCTTATCTCTATGATGTACGGCCAAATCTATTTGAATAGAGGGACTTATTTGAACGGAATTTATTTTTCTACATAAAACATTCGCTTTAATTTAAATATCTCTTTTATTTTCAAACATCTTTTCTTTGTAATGATGCACACAAATGTTATCCTTTTCAAAAAATAAAATACTAGTCCGTGATATATTAAAATGTTTTATGGGGATAATTGATTTACTTTAATCATTTTTCAATCAAAACATTAACGCTTCTTATCGCTCACCAGTGGTGAGCATCTATATACATTCAACATGAGTGATCCTATAAATATTTCCGGTTCCTACACGATCTTTTAAGGCTTTAGAACACTAAATTACAGTTACTTTTTAATAGTGGTTATATTTTTCTTATTAACATCAGAATAAAGTGCCTCTTTGGCAATCTTCACTACATAACGTGCATTCGTCCTGAAAGAAGACTGATTTCGCACGTATGTCTTAAAATAATAACAGAAGATAAAAAAATAAATGCTTCACAACAGCTTGTAATTTGCTAACTCGAAAGTAAAAAGAAGTAATTACCTTGTATTAGATAAAATAGTATGATTATAATAGCCGTGCATTAACCAACCACATGGAGTGCAGTTGTTGTGTATGTTTATAATTTATCTACATAAAAGCATTCAGAGGTCTTTTATTTACGGACATTTTGTTACATTCATCATGCTGTCAAACTGAACGGAGCACTTAAAATGGAAATTTGTCTTTTGAATTTCATAATCTCAATAAGATTTTGGCAAGTAGGTTTAAGTTTGTGACAAGCATTGTGCACCAGCTGATGTGGGATACGAAAGCAGACGACATCTGTCAACCTGCACGTGGTAAGGGAGAACAGTCTTAAATTTGTAATCTTGGTTAAAGCCTGGCACAAAAACTTACAAAATCGTTCCACAGATATATCTAGGCAATGTAGTTATCATAAGGACTTGAACGGACTGTGCTTTAAATTTCTTATCCTTATTAACAATTCACAACATGTCAATATTTCTGAATCAGTTAAAGCCATACAGATAAACTGAAACTTATTGTCTTCAAGAAAATATTCCGGGGAGTCGTGCTAAACGCCATGCCAGGTGACCAACTGTTTAAAGCCAAATACATATCAATAATTATAATAAAGATGTCAAAATGTACGTACAGACATTAAAAATGCAGGAACATTACACATAGACTCTACATTATTTAATTTTGGTGATATAGAAAAGTGTCAAAGTCGTAAATGTATTTTCAATCAATTTTCCCTAAACAGTACATGTATCTATAATAATTTCCTTTATTTTAAGTAAGTATCCCTGCTTGTTCTTTATTTTGTATTTAATTAAGTATATCATTACGAGGTTATTTTAATATATATTGTCTAGTGCAATATTGAATTATACCCGTACACATATGTCAAGCCTAGCTGTATTTGAGGAGGGAGGCGCTACTACGAGTCCAATAGAATAAAACATAACTTTGTTACTTCTAGTACTAGGTTTTGATATACATGTAGATTGTTTTACTCTGAAAATGAGACTAAACGGTGTACAATTAGTTGTTATGGATATTTGTACTCTGAAAATGAAAATGAAGCCTAATTGATAAAATTAAAAAGCAAAAGGCCTACTTATACATAGTTTTAAAGCTGCACGCCTCCAGATGAGCCAAAAGATTATCGATATTGAGAAAAATGTTCTTAAAATTTTAAGAAAGGTAAAAACATACAAGATCCAAATGCTATTTTATATGTTATGTGCTGTTTAAGACTGTCTTTGCAGTATTTTATCACCATATATCTACTGCGTTACTAACAGCAGTAAGGGCTGTTTTTGCATATTTTCTTGGATTATAAGAGCTGATTGCAATATGTATTTTTTTTATTTTGTTCTACTCACAATACATGTATTTTACTTTTAAATACATTTCCAAAATTTTCATGAAATAAACCTTAATCTGGAGGCGTGCTGCTTTAAATACATTTAGGTCGAGTCGCTAGCCGAATCTTATATAGAGTTTGCAACTGTGTGTATCAGTATTGTACTCAACAATGTATTATTACCTCTTTATTTCACACCATCGATTTTCAAACTTTTTTTACAGAACTTAGAATACTATACAGATTTATTTGATTTTTTTTTGGGATATGAAATGAAAACGAGGCTAGAAGGAGTGCAATATAGATCTGATGAGTTTTTGAACCCTGCAAATGAAAACGACGCTAAAATGACAAGCTTAGATCAAATTATAATTTATATTTGAGATAATATGTGCAAACGTCAGAAATTCATTGGTGTGAAATAGATTACTTGGTATTTTACCCATATGTCACAACATAGTTGAGTCGAAAATAGAAAGCAATACGTGTTTTGTGAAGTGTTGCAGATGCATGCAATAAACTAATTATGGACTGTCTTTGTCAGTGAGACGATCTTTCAGATAAAATACAACACATGCAATACTTAATAAAGATGGTCCAAATCAATTATCTTTTCTTCTTTTTCTGTCTGTGGCTATTTTTACGTTATTTCAAAATCTTTTTGGTGGTACAACAGAGAACATACTTGGTCTCAAAACGAATTCTTTCATTGATTATCGTTTGTATTTAAAAAAAAAGGGCTTCGTAGATTTGACAAACACAAGATAACTTACTTTGGTAGATAATAGTGTTAACCATGTTTTCGCAATCGACATAATAACCGGCGGACAAAGAACAGCATGAGTTTTAATTTAATTCCAACTTTAATTTGTTAAGATCCACAGAAAATTCCGGCTGGTCACTGGCAGAAATGTATAAAATAATCGTCTTTGCAGACTTTGAAGAAAAAGTTGAAATTAATGGAAATACTTTTCTGAACATAGCAGACGACAAAGTAAATAAATATGGTAAAAATGTCAATATTTTGGTAAAATACATATATAATTTAAATTTAAATTGACGTGCAAATATTCGCAGACAGAAAAGAAGCATTATGCTGAAAATAAGATTTTAGCCGATTTTTTATACATGCGGGAACCAGCATTTTGACTTGTATTCGTAAAATTGTCTTTTATATTTAATGTACTTTTATATTTGTGGTATTATACTCCAGCATAATATAAATGATTATATAAATGTAATGGAGGAAAGAAGCTATTGGCCCTAGGTGGCTTTTTCCAGCATTATTGGGCTAAATATGCAAACATTTTCCAACATTAATCGATTATCTTTTCTCATATATCCATAAAGCAATGTCAGGTTTGCTACAATTTTAAATGTGTGAATGTTATACCCCCAGATACAAAATCAGATTACATTCAGTTTCTAAAATCAGTGTAAATCAAACTCACACAGGAGAAAATAAAAGAAGCATAAAACTAGTTCCATATTTATAAATAAATAATAACCTTTATACAAACAAGAACATGAAATTTAATAACAGCTTTTAGTTGCCAACTTTCAGAAATAACATTGGTTAAAAGCTTTGGCTTAAATTATCAACAAAGTAAAAAAGGTATAGACTGTCAAACGGCTTAATGCAATATCTGGTATTAATACGGCTAGGGTTAGTACTAACTAAAGGGAATGTTTCAAATGTCAGTAACACCTACTTCATTTATATCTTAACTGCAAGAAGCTTAAAGCGTATTAAGTATGTAGAAGATGCAAGAATATTATGACATAATTGTTGACATAATTAAATAATTCACAGAATTTCAAATAGTACTTCTAGAATGAAATGCTCAAATTGAAATATCAACAGAACCTTAACAAATTTTTACACTGTAACTTTTCCTTTCTAATCTGTATTATGTATATAAATATAAAATATACTATATGGCAGAAATATACTGTCCGGATCTTGAACCCTCCAGTTTAAACAGCAATAATTTAACAACTAATAACAATTAATAATCCGCTTTACAAAAAGCCTAGGTGATTAAGATTCTACCCGCTAATAGAATAATAAAGTCAAAATTGTTTTGACTCTCGTTAAATATAAATTAACATAAACCTTAGTAAAAGAAATATAAAAAAATAGAGATGTGATATCAATAGAATAGATATCATTAACGTCTAAATGTAGCCGCATCATTGTCTAATAAAAAATGTACGTCTTTAGTTGAAACACATTTCAAAGTTTCAAAAAATTTCAGATCTGCTCTTATTTTGATGTCTTAAAATTACTATTTATATGTTGGTATCCTGTTATAATTTCAAGTTAGTATAATTTTAGTGATTAAGCATTTTGTATGGAAGTTAAATACTACTTTGTTTATATTTTGCTACTTCGTTTAATGACAAATCATTCACATTTAGCGCTACTTCCTTCACGTGAAAAGCATCTAACATGCTTTAAATTCACACTTTAAACATTTAAAACACATGTTTGCCTTTTTTAAATAATAGAGACTGAAAGCGCCTTTAAAACTTTTAAACCAAAACATTTCAAATCCTTTCTTCGTGATTTAAAACGTAATTTCTACACAAGCTACTCGTATGTTATCAAGGGTGAACTTTTTGTTTGGAATTTTCGGTATACATAATTTAGCACAATATATTATCTAATTAAGTTACAAAAATTGAAACACTGGTTATCTTCTTAAGCTTCCTCAACTTTAACAGCTGGTACGGTTTTATGATGAGTGCTGCGACTAGTTCTACCTGTGCCAGAATCTTTCACCGCCTTTGAGTGTTTTCCATCTGGCGCTTTCTTTGAAGAAGTTGCGCTATTAAGAGATTCATTGCTCGATTCCAATGCTGAATCTATTTTACCACCATGTCCGATGTTTTGAGAAAGTTTTCTAGGATTTTGTTTTTGTGGTTGCTTATTTTTTCCTGCGGTTAGAACTTCTTCGGTATTTTGCCGTGACATTGTTGCACTTTTCCCGCGTGCTCTTCTTCCCCTGGTATCCATCTCGTCTATAGCATGTTCCGAATTTGCTGGGGTTATGGGTTTGTCTAGAGGAGGAAGAGAAGCATTGTCATTTATATCAGACACAGACGAATCTCGGTAAGAAGCGGTACATTGATACTGATATTTGACATATAACTTTCTAAGGTCTGTTCTCCAACTTGACTTCGGCAGTATGATATCGTTTTTTACTTCAGATCTTCGCGTAAATGCAGATTTTGAACGGATGTGTCTTCTCGGTGCACCTTGTTGAACTTCTCCCGTTTCTTGTATTGGTGACATGTGAAATAAAAATTCTGGATTGTTACGGATATCATTTACACTTGTACACCGAATCAGTTTCTTTTGGTTCTTTTCGTTTGGAGGAATTTCTATCGCCGGATCCCGTCGATTTGTTTTCCGTGGTATATCATAACTATACACCGTCGGCGTCCGACGGTAGGAATATTCGCTTGTTAAAATGCTAGACTTCGAGCTTCTATGGGATAATACTGAAGAGCGAGGACGACTTAGAGATTTTCTAGAACTCATAACAGATAAACAATCACGTTCAGAAACCCCAGATTTCAGATCCATAGGTATATTTGCTTCTATGCCATTCTCATCACTGAAGATATCGGGATTTTCGAGAATTTTAGCACACCTTCGCTTATTCAGACGATGTGCCTCTTGCAAAGGTGTAAACCCATCTTTGTTCATTTTATCAAAGTCAATTTCATATTTAACGTACATTTGTGCGATAAGTCTTGTGATGGAAGCATTTCCAGACCTAACAGCGTAATGTAAAGCTGTATTTCCTTGCTTATCTCCCTCATTTAGATTGAAATCTATTGCCTTTAAATAAACACGAACTAAATCCAGACGTTCATAAATCACTGCATAATGAAATGCGTTCAGTCCGTACCTGTCCTTTAGAAACAAGGTGGCTCCATTCTCTATCAGCAGACGACATATCCCTACACCCCAAGCTTCCGGTTCTATAAAAGCACATAACATTAGAGCTGTGCGCCTTTCTTCATCTCGCTGATCTAAATCAACGCCGTGGTCTACGAGGAATCTTACTTGTTGAAAATACCCATTTTTTATAACATCTAATAATGACATAGGTTCACTGTTTCTTGGGTTCCTCATTTTGACGTGTCCAGGTAAACGAATGCCACTGAATGCCCTTTAACTACAGTTGTTTGGTTTACATGTTTCCATACACATCATCTGAAAAAATGATAATTAAACGTGTAACTCGATTATAAAACCAGGATTTGTAGGTGAATCAAATTCTCATAAAAATCTCCTAAATGATACTTCATAGCTTCAGCAAACTTCATTTATTATAAAATAAATCCATAAACAAACACAGTAAAACAAACGATTTTCAGTAAAAGAACTGTATAAAATGTTTTGTGTTTTCACCTGCCTGACAGAAACTATCAGCACAAATTTCATACGAAAAAAATGTCATCTCTGATTTTATACGTATACTCTTCCCCCAGACACCTAACTCCCAAACTTAGTCGAAACTATTTTATTTAAGGAGAATTAAGTACATTTGATAACCATTGATATATTGACAAAATTTTAACACTGATTTAAACAATGTACGACACTTTTTAGATTAAACATGTACAATATTAAGATTGTTTGTTATTTTTATAAAGATTTTTTTTGGTAGTTGAAAGTAATAAGATTATTTGGGGGAAATCAAAAGATTAGTTGTAATCTTCTCTTCGATCACGGCGAAAATCAAACTACACTAAAATAGGTCGTAGATTTCGTATAAGGCATATTTTGATAAAAGACTGATAAAGGTATTTGGTTAAGACTAAATTAAAGCAAGTGATCGAATGAATTGAACGATCGGTTTGTATTCAGTTTTACCGTCCTTTCAATGAAAATAAGACTTTGAAAATAATTGTTAGACTTTACAAATCATATAAAAGGTAGATGAAAGACGAAAATTATTTGGCTTGACAAAATTGGTATTTTTTTTAAAAGTATTTCAAAAAGAAGGTCACACCGCATTATAATTTTATTTCGAACAAATATCAACTTTAAATTCTTTCAGAGTAGTGATAGGAGCAGTAACTAAGTCGTTATGTTGTTTTTATTATTATTTTTTTTTTAAAAATTGATACCATTATAATAAAAGAAATAATCTTAACATGTATAGTCTTACACCCGTATACATTTAATTTTGAATTGAATCGTTGTTGTTCTTTCAATTTGAATAAGTTTAGCACATTTCATTACGTTCACACCGATACATATGTTACCTCCAGACAAAAGCTAACTAAACTTTATATATACTTTCCTTTAATTTATTCAATACGGATTGTGCAGTTATTACCTAACATTTTACTGTCGACTGAAAAACATAGACAGATATTTGAAACAACTTTTTGTAATTTAAACCAATTTGTTACCGATTTTTTTGAAATCCAATAATATCCAGCAACTATAGATTGTCACCTTGTAACTGTGACTAATATCCGAGCGTATATAATTTGACTGTTCAATAAGGTTTTTGTAGGTTCAATATTTGTTCAAGGTTTCAATAAGTTATTATATCACGAATGTGTTTCACCTTGGATATATCTACCGCATAATATACACAGAAGCATGTACAAATATAGAATCTACTTCAAACGACTCCAACTTTTAAATGAAGAGTTTTGTAAAGAATATTTGTCAACATTCCTGTGTAATCATATTTTATCTTATCTTAGAGTGAGGATTAAGGATTTACAACAACTTCTGATCGCACTATTTCATTAGATAATGCCCCCTTTAAGTTCAATATAAATTTCGATATAAATTACTTTTTATAACTTTTTTTTCGACAGTTGAAACATACATTATTCATTCATACATAATTAATTAACATTAAGAATACGATATGATAGCATTTTACCTTATTTTATGTAAATGTTTGGCATATACAGACCTTTGCTGGCAGTAACTTGGAATCTAACAAGGTTTATATAATGAGCAGATCAGAACAGAAACATTATTTCAGACAAAGTACACTAGTACAAAAATCACATTATCTGTTGTTTAATAGTTAAGATAATAATTACATTGATTCTATGTAAAATAATTCATATGTCTTTCACGTGTTTTCGTTTCAGGTGCATTATTCGTTTAGCAAGTATACCATTAAGTCTATAGCAATCGCACTCAAGAAAGAATTAAATAAACATAATAATAAAACTAATACAAACTAATATTATAGTCTTGATTAAAAATGTTATTATATATATAGTTTAGTATCCTGATGTGAAACTTTCAATGCATAAATATTTACCTGGTTTCCAACATTCCAATTATTAACTCCATTATAATATTTAATTGAATATAAGTTACATATTTACAATGATAAAGCCGGTGTGTTAATCTGTAGAGAGAAAGTTGTAGCATACAAGTTTCAACCAGCAGGTAAGTTTTCTCTATAGGTTTATATCAATAAAGAATTAATACCTTTTTGCGAGTGATCAAATCTATACTGAAAGTTAGCTACATGCGTTTCTATATACGAGTTATATACTATAAACGCACTCGTTTGAAGTATACAATCTAATAAATACTATTTACCTCAAGCATTAAATCGTACCTGATATTATATTGAAAATTGACATTATACAATATTATCATGAAAAAATACTTTTCATTTACCGAAAATTGAAATGCATAAAAAATACACAAAATAAATTACCTGTATTTATCAAATTCCTCTTTTTATAAGTTAAGGAAAAATAAAAACAATTTGTAACTTCCTTTTCTAATTAAATCTCGGAAAAATCATTCAAAACTGATCGATAGCTTTTGAGTTCTCACAACACAAGTTGGTAGAAACTAATTATAAAGTTCTCTATTTACATTTATAATGACTCTCTTTTATCACGTGACAATAGAGTCTTGGTATTTTATCAATTTTTCTGTCAATATATTATTGAATATTTTCACGTGCCCCAATTCAATTATGCTAGTTAATATAAGTGTAAATAAGATTCCCACACCGAAAATCTTCTTTAGTCCTATTGTAATTGAGTCAACGTACTGGTTAGCCGTTACACCGCCATCATTTCTCCTTCTTGGTTCCGAGTGCTTATAAGATTTTATACGTTATAAGTTTTTTTTTACAGGATTTTGAGCACGTGTAAAGTACATTGATAAAATACTTTTGATTATATCTGAATCAGTTAACATTTTGTTTCATCCCGTGCAAAATTAAAGAAATCGACATCACTTTTTTGCAGCGATTGTTATGATACGACCTCCTTTATATCCAGCGTTAATCTGTCTCAAAAGATCAAACATTTATCATTTGTTTGCCATTATTAGATATAGTTTTCAAATCAGCCATTAGTGTACGGTTCATATCTGAACAATTAAAGGATGTAATCATACAATCATAGATCGTAATTAGATATAACCAGATATACCCCATCATACACACATGATATCTCGTAAAATAATGATATATAAAAATCCATCTGACCTGATAGATCTATATATCTCCTAACATTTGCACGTAAATATGCTTAGTCCGAAATTCCAATCAATTAGAAACAGTAAGTTAAAATTTTATGCTTTCTCGAATTAACGACTTGAAAAGCAAATGAGATTATCTTATGAAGTGAAGATTCAAAATCATCGCAACTAATAGTTTGTAGAAAAATATTACAGTTCAAGTCCGAATATTCAAGAAATCATAGATGATGTATTTAAAAGAGATTATATAATTTTACTCCATTGGATTTAATGCAGTCGAGATAGAAAATGTCAAAAACACCGTATATAGACACTAGACAGAACTGTTATTAATCTATCAAAAATATTTCTTTTAGAGGATACGAAACTTTGATCTAGCATTCAAATATTAAAAATCATAAGTGAGAAATGAAGAAGAAATGGAAATGCGAGAGAACTTCGTTTTTATACGTGTAATATAAATTTTATGTGACTTACTGGCTCATATATAAAAATAATGTAAATAACTGTTATAGAGAATACCTTAAGCTACAGTCTCACTAACATCCCGGCAGAGCCCCGGTAGACGTCCGGGGTGATCCGGGGTACGACCGGTAACAACCGGAGTACATCCGTAACTCTGCCGGCAACGTCCGGGATGATCCGGGAACATCCGGCATTCGACCCCAGGTGGAATAAAATATTTAATATCACCAGGGTGGTCCGGGATGATCCGGGAAGTATAGCTTTGCCGGCTTAATCCTTAGCTCTGCCGGGAACGACCGGGGTTACACCGCGGAAGCACCGTAGCTCTGCCGGCACAAGCCGGGGATGATCCGGGGCATGATATAGCCGGTAGAGCTACGGTAGAGCCCCGGTAAATGCTGGCAGAGCCCCGGTAAAGGCCGGCAGAGCCCCGGTGAATGCCGGCAGAGCCCCGGAGGATGCTGGCAGAGCCCCGAATGATGCCGGCAGAGCCCCGGAAGATGACGATGGAGATACGGTTGATCCCGGTAGAGCCCCGGAAAAGCCCGGTTCATTTCAAAAGAATCACGACAATTTACGATGATTTCCATTGTTTGTATTAAAATCCTTCCCATTTCCCTTTTATCCAGTCTTGCACAAGGATTTTTCAGAAAATCATCATGAATTACTGTTCTGGAATAATAGATATAATATTAAATAAAAATTCTGTATCAATATAATCATTTTCGTACGTTTTCAATCCACCGGGGTTCTACCGGGACTCTGCCTGAATCGTCCTTGGCTCTGTCGGGGCTCTGCCTGTGTCAACCGGGACTCTTCCGGCGTCATCCGGGAACGACCGGGGAAGCATCGGCATGAACCGTAGCTTCACATGGGCTCTGCCTGGATGGTCCGGAGCGCATCCTGGGCGGTTAGTTGGGAATTACCGTAGTGCTGCCGGGTTAAGTGTGACCGCAACAATAACTTTACCCCGGATCGTCCCGGATCATCCCAGTAACTTACCGGGGTGGTCCTGGGCTCTGCCGGGAGTAAGTGAGACCGAAGCTTTAAATAAAACAAAAGTTTTATTACAGTACTGAGACATTGCATTAATGAAATACTTGTCTACTTAATAATGATTGTGTTGGTATAGTACTTTGTATGTATTTAAGTGATAAAACCATTTTCTTTCTAGTACAGTTTTATTAAAACTTATTTCAGAGGTCCTCTATGTTCGACTCTACAGACGAGTGTCAAACATTTCATGTTTTGTATCATTA